AAGAGAGAGATGTGAGAGAAAACCCTGATTAGTTGCCTTCCAACTGGGATTTGAACCCACAACCTTTTGGTGCCCAGAATGATGCTCCAACCAAATGAGCCACACCGGCCAGGGCCAAAGTAATTATCCTTAAATATACAGGTCAGTGGCTTTCTTCTTTTTAAACTCTTATTGAGGTTTTATTTATGTAAAATAAAACACATCCATTTTAAATGCGCAGTTCAACGAGTTTTTATAAAACTACCCACCACCAGGGAGACAAGATCCGGAAGATGTCCAGCCCGCCCAGAAGTTCCCTCGCGTCCCTTCGATCAGCCTGCCCGCCCCTCCCTCCAATACAGCCTCTCGACTGAGTTCCGTCACCTAGAGTTGACCTGCCTGTCCCTGAACTTCTCATAAATGGCTCGAGGTGTGCGTTCCCTGCAGGGTCTGCCCTCTTTCACTGAGACTCGGGGCGCGGGAGCACCAGCAGCTGTTTCTGCTCATTGCCGCGCAGCCGTGTCCTGCACCGGCACAGCCCGTGTCTGCTCTCCCGGGGACAGGCCGTGGGTTCACAGCCGGGGGCCGGGGGCACGCCCAGGGGCGGACCCGCTGCGCGCTGGGTGGGTGTACCTGTGGCCTTAGTGTGCGCTGCCGAGTCATTTTCCAAAATGATTGCACCCAACGAGAATTCCCACTGCGTCGCCTCCCAGCCAGCACTTGGGACTGTCAGTCTCTCTAATCTCAGCTATTCTGGTGAGTGCGTGGCATTGCCTCACACGCCGCACCTACCGTCCCTCTCTGATGAACAACGGTATTGAACCAGTTAGAAATTCTCCTTCATGAAGCACGTGTTCAAGTTTTTGGCTCATTTTTAAGAGCAGTTGTTCATCATTTTCTCACCGATTTGTGGAGTTCTTTATTCTGAATATGAGATCTCTGCCGGGTATACATAGAGCAAACATCTTCTAAGGTTTGGCTTGTCTTTTCACTCTAGTGATAGTGCTTTCTTGATGAACAGAGTTCATGATTTTAATGAAGTCCAACTAATGGTGGTTTTGTTTGGTGTTTTCTAGGTTTCTCTTGAAGCATAGAGCAAATTGAGGTAGAAACGACTTGGGGAAGATATGACTATGGGTCCAGGACTTTGCCTTGAGACCCACAGGCTCATGCCTCACACCAGCTTTCGGGGCTTCAATCCCCTGGAACAGATGCAGCCTTTCCTGGCCTCCCCTCAGAAAGGTTTGCCCAGGGGAGTTTCTAGAAACCTCTCCCCACACTCCTCCAACCTCCGACCTGGTTTCTCCTTGACTACTTGGCCTCTCTGGGGGCCGTTGGGAAGGGGTACGCTGCCCCCTGGCTTCAGCCCCCCTCCCTCGAGGGGCTCACCTGCTCCAGCATATCCTTGGCGAGGTCCTCCTGCTCGTCCATCTTCAGGATGGCCTGCCGGATCTCCTCGTTAGAAAGCTTCAACCTAAGGCAAGAGCCCCGCCCTGAGCAGCCCGGCCTGGGCCTCTGCGTGGGACAGACCACAGCTTCTCTCCCCCTCATGTGAGCTCGGTGGAGAGTCCCCCTCCCTCCCCAGCTCCTCAGCTCTCCTGCAAAGCGTCCTCAGGCTAAACTAGGGTTCACTCCATAAACAAAAATGGTCTCTAAGCGAAGCTCTAGACAAATTCTAGTCTCTGGTCTGGTGCCTGGGTCGCCGTCAGAGCTGATAGGAGCATTTGGGGGTAGAGGGGCCATCTTCAGGGTAGCCTGAGACATGAGCAGGTTTCTGACCTTCCTCTTCTTCATGCCTAAAATATCTGCAGCATCTCCCTGGGAGGACGGGGGGAGGCGCAGGCCTTCAAGGGGCCGCTTCCTGCTTCCTTCGTTCTCAGCAGACAGACCAGCTCTCAGCCGGTGACGGCGCCTCGGCTCCCACACAGCTGCCCCCATCGCTCTCATCCAGCTTGCTGCCTGGGGAGGCGGGGAGCAGTCCCGCCCCGACACACACATACACACACACAAGCACACACACACCCCTTCCCTAGCCCCTCCAGATGCTCAGCCAGCGGGAGCCCTGGGGGTGCAGACCCCCACCACCATCAAGGGGGAGAAACAGAGGCCTGGGGCCTTGTGGGAGGAAAGGGGGTGGGTGTCCCAGGGGTGGCACTAAGAATAGTCTGGGAGGCGGTGCCCTCTGACCCTAGCCCAGGGGGGAGGCCCGCACAGAAGCTGTGCTGTTAGCGAGATACTGCCCGGCTTGTTCTCAGCCGTGGGAAATGCTTGGGGGCTGAGATCATGCTGCTCTGTGGCCTAAGCCTCGTGGGGCCCTCCATGGGCTTAGAGCAGCTCCCCCACTAGACGCTGACCAAGCTGGTCAGGGCCTCGAGATCGGGGCAGCTTCCTGTCTGCAGAGCCCCCACTGCTGCTCCCCACGGGCTCCCAGGGAGGGTTCCAGATCACTGCCCCCTCCCCTTTCCCAGGGGCCAGCGGAGAGGGCGAGGCCAGAGACTGCTGTCACCCCAGTCCTCGGCCACCTAGCTCCCCCAGGCATTCAAGCCACCCATCTTCCTCCACTAGCCCCACCTCAGTCCTCCGCTTCCGGGCCATCCCCTCCCACCAGGCGCCAGCCCGGGCAGGGCCAGCACGTACTTGGAGAGAAGAATGATGCAGTTCTGTGCCCTCCGGCCGTCAATGACTGACAGCTCTTTGACCTTGCGGGAGGCCAGGTAGATGTCCTCAGTGGAGCCCAACTCTTTCTGCAACCAACAAGCCAATCAGAAAGGTTGAGGTGTGTGTTTCCCCCAATCCTCTATTTGCCCCCCACCCCCCAGGAGCTA